TTAAATTCTGTATGAAGGCATAATTTATTACAATTGGGGTTCATTGAACAATGAAGTGAAGTAACAAGATGGTGGAGAAATAAACACAGAATAAAAATTTAAATTACGTTCCTTACCTCTTATCTCATTATGTCCCCTTGTCGCACGTAAAGATATTCATTTAATGTTCATTCATTCAGTTTTGTGTGCTGTAATGTGTTTTTTGGATATTTGGTATTCAAAAAAAAATTATTCAAAAATTATATTCTTAAAAAAAGTTGTGTAAGTGAGATAGAAAATTGTTATCAGGACATACAAAGAGAAGCTGATGGGTGTCAATTTGAGGACTGACAAGTTGGAATAACTTTTGGGTTGATGACGTTTTAAGCGCATTACCATAACTTGATATTAGAAACCAATTTAAGTTGAATAACTGAATAATCGAACATTTTTGGGCTCTAGTAGCTTGATATCTCAGTTTTGGATTTATCTCAAATCTAGAATTGCTATCTAGCACCTTTTGATGTAACCAAGGCTTCAGAATTCAACAATATAAGGTCCTATGGATGTCTACAACTGTGGTGTCTACAATAAATCCACATAAAACCTAGAAATCACCAACCAATCAGCTCAAAATTCAAAATATTCCACAAAAATTAACGCTAACAAAATTCATAGCTTAAGGGACATTCCATTTCTAACAAAAGAGTTCCATTGATGACGGGAGGGTGAATTGTCGAGCAAATTACACAGTATTAAGGGTGCCAAAAAATTGAATGACGTAATGGAACAATGAATAGGCTTTTAATGGATCTCTTGAGAATGAATTTACGAGTCAAATGCAGAGAAGGATTTCACTACTATTGATGCTGTTGCTGTATTTACTCGCATGAAAATTGTTTCATGATGTGTTCTGAACAAGACAACATTATTATTTGAAGAAGCACAAAAATCTACTTTACAATTTGTTTACTTTCATTAATCGATATTTATTCTGCTTCCATTCCCTATTCCATAATTATTCTTTCACTTACACTTCACTTGCCTGTTTGTTGCTTCTTATTCTAATATTTGTCTGATATTATATTATTTTCATTAAATAGATAAAAGTGGAAGATAGGCTGAGATTGAGGAATGAATGACAATAGAAAGGAACTAAGTGACATTAAGATGATGACGATGATGATGCGATTTTTATCATTCTGGAGATTTTTATTGAAGATTTTTTATTTATTTCGTGTTAATGAAAGTCATTTGTCATTAATGAGTCAGACACTTCACGTGCAGGGTTCAGTGGAAATTGGATGAGAGGGAAATAAATTTTGATTTAGATATTTTAATTATTATTGAATGTAGGAATTGATGTTGAAGAAAAAGGGTGTTAAAATTTGAAAACAGTGGGATGTACTCAAGAAGTAACACGAGCTTGACGTGTGTTTAAGTAAGCAGCAACACTAAAATTAATAGAGATTTGGGAGTTTTATGATAAAATTAATATAGATTCTACTTGAGTATCGAATATAGTTCTAGATAACTGAACCTAACCCTAGCTCAATACTAGCAGGTTTACCTCAAATATGACACATCAGCCCTGCATCTAAATACATGACGTAATCAAGTTTTAAAAATAATAAAAAATTGTAATTAAATTTTTTCATTTTCATTGAATTGCCATCATATCTTCCAGCTCCTTCAATTTCAGTACTTAAGGCTGCATAGAGGAAATGAGAAAAGCAATAAAAGTTGATAATTCAGAAAGAAGCGAAGGCGAAAATTTGTTTAAAAAGGAAACGCAATGTTCTGTAAATCATTTTTTTATTTGCTTAATTTTTTTTCACTCTTCGTTCGCTTTCTTTTTTTGCATTCCTGAAGGGCATAAAAATCGAGAAGAGAAATGCTTGACAAGAGTCGAAGAAATTTAAATCAATTTTATTTTTCCCTTTTTTTCTGACATTCTACTTTCTGTTGCTTTAAATGCCTCAGTAGATAGTAGATACAAAATAGAAACAGGAAAGAAAGAAGTAATATGTAGGAACATTTTAAAGCAAGCAAAAAATGCGACAATTTTAAAAGAAAATTAAAATCAGAAGTGAAGAAGAAGAAAAAATTGGGTTAGAATTGTGACTCGGGGCTAAAAAGAAACATTTCAACACCTCATTTGACGTAAATTATGTTTCTACTGACGAAAGGGTGCATACATAACATCCTTTCATCTTCACCATGCTGCATGGAATGGTTCTATATATTTGTAACAATAAAGTCATCACAAAAATTTCATCATTAGACAATTGCCAATTTAAGCATGAAATTAGAAGGAAATTTTGGGAAATATATCACTTTCTTCCCTCTCTTAGTTCCAATATTCAGTTTTTGTAGATCCAGGGCTGGTTTCAGGTCTTTATCGTCTAATTTTTTGTCTCTCTATCTTTTTGTGACTCAGTTAATTTCCTGTGAGTCTGTCAATGGCCTTCTATACTCCTGTTTTCCTATCTCTGTGTCTCTTTCATCCTTTAACTCCGTAATTGTTACCCTCTTCCCTCCTGAATCCAACACTCAAAACGGAAATACTTTTCAGTCATATCATAAGCAAAAAAAAAAAAAGAAATTTTGAGAAGAAAAGCAAACAAGTGTTGCTGTTGCTGCAAAAAGACGTTTTTCCCTTCTATTTTTTCGGAGCAATTCTTTTTTCCTCAAAAGAAACAAAGAAGAACGGAAAGAAAATATTTTGCCTCGTCTTTAGCATTCTAAAGTGAAATAAATTGTGCGGAAATTACATTTCATGAGCAAGTGCCTTCTTCCTTTGAAAAATCATGCAAATATTAATCTTGAAAGTTTTTCTCTTCTTCTTCTTGCTTTTTCTCATTCATCGTTAACATTGAGTCATATTCACAATGTGATACTTGGGGATTTTCAGCTAATAAAAATTCTTGCCAACAATGTTATTTTTTCTGCTGTTGCTTGATAAGAATCTCTAATAAAAATTCATTGGGAAAAAAAAGTTGAAATAATAAAGTTTCCTTGTATGACAAAATGATTGCGTTTATTTCTGCGTAGCTAAGGGTTTTTGGGAAATTATAGGATTCATTTTGTTGGCATGATGTTTGGCTGGTCTTTGAGTTGATACCTAGTACTTGACTTTAAAAAGGTGGACCTAAGCTAAGCCTTTTGAAATCAAAGGCTCAAGCCTTTGCCTTTTTATGCCTTTACAAAGTCATGACTTTGCTAGATAAAAGATAAAATCTGGGCAAAGACAACTTTGTATCAACATTGGCTTGTCTATGAGAATACAATGAAAATAAGTTCTTAGGCCTAGCTCTTTGCTTGTAGATTATCGAACTCAAATTAATGACAATCTGCCTTTTAATACGGAGTTCTGGATGAAACTAAATCGATAGTTTAAAGTTCACAATTATTATAATAGTTCCATCACCTCCTACAATTTAACAGTTGCAGGAAGCACAGCATGAAATTTTCATTCAACTTAACAATAACGATTCATAACAAATCAATTTAAACTTAAAAAAATGATTCCATATGCCAAAGAGTACCCTCCTCCATAAAACCTCATAAATATCAATTGTAAATGCGCTTCATCAATCCCATATTTATTGCAAATCTTCCAACAATTCTTATTCATTATTATCTCCACAATAAAACAAGAGACATCTGCTGTTAACATCATCAGACATGCTTGTTAGTTAAACATATAATTGCGAGGGTCAGATTTTTGCTTTATGCACATAATTTTTTTGTGTATGTGTGTATAGTGCAGATATGCCATAAGTACCACTCGAAGAAATTAATTCAACGATACAGCATCAATTGTTCATGAAATAATGCGTGTAAAATTCGATTTAATAATACAATAGTTATCGCACAGCATAAAGCAATGACGATTAAGGAAGAAAAAAATAAATTCGAAACATTTTCCAAGTGTCTCTTAATGCAATTATTGAGGATTCAACTCACAGAATAATAAAGTCATAAAATTTATTTTCATAGATTTGTCACATTCATTTATTCAGTATTTTTTTGGTCTCGTTCTCGTTCCCCTCGACAACAAAGCAGCAAAAATTCATTTTTGATTCAAATTGGATTTTAGTTTTATTAGAAATTTTGTTGGTGAGGTTGAAAATTTATCTCGAATTGTATCTTAATTATGTCATCGTTTGTTGATGATTGTGCATCCCTCCTTCAATTTTCATTTCATTACTTTGCCCTCTGGAATTCTCTTATTATCTTATTGGAATATACGGCACACCAGTAGATAGAATATAAATTTGAATTTTTTTTATATTGAGTCAGTGTCATCACAAATCAAACAGGAATTACCAAAAGAAAGTAGGGGCAGAGAGAGTGATGACAATACTGTGGGCTATTCCAGGGTTGCAAAAATTGAAGGCATGGTTCATGATTAGTTGAAGGATTCAATATTGCAGTGAATCTAGAGATTCTTGAACTCTTACTTTGCAAAGCATAGATTCGTGTATAAGATAAAGAAAACTAAGCTCAAGGCTCATTAAACAAGGCGGACATTGATAGGAATCGAACCTCTTATCTTAAAAAAAGGTGTATTGCACTCCTTAGGAGCGCAAAACACTGCTTCTTAACTACCAGGGAACTGATATCAATTCAGTTTTTTTGGATACACATTCAAACAGTTTCTTTAGAAGCTACATGCTGAGATATGTATTTGTAGCTATATCTACACACTCTTAGAGCTTTATAGATTCCAAAATTATTATATTATGCATTAAAATACAAATTATAAGCATACACATACTCCCAACTCTGTAAATTCAAACCACCAGAAAAATATGATACAAAATCAACAATAATAATATTCATAAATAATGTCGATATCCATTCAGAATTCATTAGTATGTACAAATGAAAAATCAACATTAAAATATGTTCATATTTTGACTTTCTCAGTATCTTATCACTTCATCATAAAAATAATAAAGAAAATGCAGCACAAAGTTGTTAGGGTTCATTCAAAATGTTTATGGAAATAGACATTAATTTTTATCAAGAAAATCGCATTCAATAGGTTCTTGACATTCAAACAACTCGATCCTCATAAAACTTGATATTGCTTCTGTTAAATCAGTTGCTTGACTTTCGCTTTGTCGTCTTTCATTGCTATCAATTATAGCTTCGAAATAAAGAATGGATTCTTCCATTTCATCAGATTGATGCACTTCTGCTAGAACTTCTACATTGTGTCCTTCTGGTTCAATGTTGATGTCATCATTTTGATTCGTATTTTGTTGTTCCTGATCTTGACCATCTTGTCTCATTTTCTGTTTATCAAACTCTCCATAATCAACTTCATCTGTCTGATCAATATCAATTTCATCTGATTGTTCATGATCACTTCGATATCTAGTTCCGAGATTCGTTATTGGTCTTTCTACAGGAATTGATGTTTTAGTGTCCTTAAAAAAACTCCACAATAATTCAAAAACAAATCCCAGGATCGAAATGCAGCAACATCCAATCCAAATATAAAAACCAAATTCTAAGTCAGACATTGCTAAAACTCTTGGTTCATCATCATAAGAATCTTCATTGTTTGGTGAATTTGAATAGTAATTTTTTATAAGATTTTCCATTTGTCCCGAGTCAATCATGTTGTCAATTGTCTTTTTTAGCATTCGGAAGTGAAATGCATAATCATGAAATGCAAAAACTTGTTGTGATTTGAACTTGTTTCCATTTGCAATTCGTTTCCAATCTGGATTAGTTTTAGTGAATTGTTTCAAGGCTTGAAGATTGATTTCATCAATAACAAGAACAAGTTTTGCTGAAGCATTTCGAGATTGCGTCATGAAAAGGTTAGCGAATTTAACAGGATTAATTCGGACAATGTTCTTACTGCAAATAAGGAAATATAATTCAAATCTTTGGAAGTGTATTGTAGAAACTTTAATAAATATACAATATTCTTACCTTCCGTGGTATAAACCACTTGCTAAAGCAGTTTCTGATGAAAATGTATATATTGCATAATTCATATCAATCAAATCTCTAATACTGACCGGTGACGGACGTCGAGGTTCACTTGTCATAAACTCAAACAGCTTACTTTGAAAGCAGACTTGAAAAATCAAACAGAACCAGATGAAAAGAATGAAAATAAATCTTGCAAAGCTTTTGTCAGGCAGTCGCGTCTGTCCAATCCCAAAAATAAGACCAACTACATTCCACACTGGAGTTCTGACCTTGTTGCCATACACAACATCTTTAATTTTTTCTGGCAAGTGATTAATACAGAATATCGACACGAATGTAGTTGAAAAAGTAATGAAGACAAAAATCCAAGTCCAGAAATCAAATGGAAGTAGAAGTTTTTCGTAGGGTGTGAAGAGCTCGCCTGGTGTAACAAGAACTGTGTATTGTAAGTCCATAACAGAGTTTGATGTTCGAAGTTCGGTAGCAGTTTTTTGGATATCCGTAAATTCAAAATAAACATTTGGAATTTTGACTTGTTTATTGTCAGGAACTAAGTTGAGACTTTCTTTGCTAGAATTCATCATGTATTGTGAACGTGAAATTACCGGTTGGAAATAATGCTTAAAATTGTTCTTTTTTGATGCCATTTGGAAAATGATTGAAGTTATTGAGCTCAATCCAGATTTAGTCGAGTCTCTATCAGGTACTGGCATCATAAGAGTCAATTCACATCCATGATAATTTAAAAACTTTTCATGATTCCTTAATTTCGAATTCCATTTCATTGAATTTTTGTTGAAAACGTTTAGCACTTTTAGTTGTTGGATATTGCACCTTTTTGAAGTAAACCACTCGACTGACATTAGAGTAATCTTGTCTGATTCAGTTATGAGAAAATATGAATAAAGCAGGATCGACTTTGAGAAAATATCCAGTTTAATCATATTCATTTTTTTAATAATGAATGATTTTAAATCAGATAGTTTTAAGTTTTTGATAATAATGAAGTACTTAATAGCATCGTTTTGATGCCGGACGAAGGAAGTTGTCTTTAAAAATTCTGAAAACGATCTTAGTGAGTCAAAAAATATAAATGCTGATTTGGAAACTATAGTTGGAGATATCTTTTGGTTATTCAGCTAGATCGGCTTATAGTCAAAGTTATGACCATTTCTGACAATAAAACTATCCAAAAGTCCTGACGTGGTCCACGATAAATCTACATATACATCAAACTTTATTCTTTCTTTCTGTAAGAATACATCCACGATGTCAGTAAGAACTTGAGTGTTGATGGAATAATTTTTGTTGTGAACAAAGTTTAATAATTTTGAATTAGCAAGCACAGCAAAAAGTATTAAAATTATTAATTCTGAGCTCATCTTTACTGTTCACTTTCAACGTCAAGTCCAATATGAGTAAAGGTCTAATTTATTTAGATCCTTAATTCAATATTATCAACATTGAATGTTTTATTAATTCCAACATATTAGTTGAATCAAACATATTCTTTTGTTTTGTTCAGATCAATGATAAGTTTAGGCAATTAAGATTAAGATTATGGCCATGACAAAGGTCACCAATTAATTTTAATGACAAATCAGAACGATTTTTCATTTTAAAATGTTAAAAATTTTTTTTTTTCAGGTTCTTATTCAATAATTTCTTGGTTTATTAAGACTTCTCCAAATAACTCAATGTCCATAAAGTTTGATATGGCTTCAGGATCATTTACTCTTTGCTGTTTTTCATTACTTAGAATTATATTTTCAAAATACTCAAGAGATTCTTCAATCTCGCTAGCTTGATGAACTTCTACAACAACTTCCATTTTGCTTTCTTCTCCTTCTTCGTCTTCTTCTTCAGTGTTGGTGTCGTCGTTGTCTTTAGTTTTCTGTATTTCCTGATCTTGATTGTTTTTATCTATTTCTTGTATTAAAATTACATTCTCAATAGGTTCCTTATGATCAACTTCTTCCAATTCATCATAACTAATGTCATCTGACTCATTATAATCAACTTTCTCTGACTGATCTTGATTAATTCTATCTAATGGTTCCTGATAATTTTGATATAGCTTTCCAAAATATGATATAAATATTTTGGCCAAGAATATAAAATCAGTATTCCTTAAATTACTGTACTGATGTTCTATAATAAAAACAAATATCGAAAGACAACACCAACCAAACCAAATCAAAAATCCAGACTGCAAATCATACAAAGCTAGAACTTTTGGTCCATTATAAAAATTATCAAATCTTTGTGAATTTGGATAGTAATTTCTTAAAAGATATTCCATTTGTCCTGTGTCAATAAGGCTGTCAATAGTATTTTTTAACATTCGGAAGTAAAATGCATAGTCACGAAATGCAAACACTTGCTGAGTTATAAATAAATGTTCGTTTTTAATTTGATTCCAATCTGAATTCATTTGAGAAAAACGGATTAAGTTCGATAGATTAACTCCATCAATAATAAGAGCTAGCTTTGCTGAAGCATTTTGAGATTGTGTTTTAAACACAGCAGCGAATTGTTTGGGAGTGAATTCATAGATGTTTAGCCTGCAAAGAAGGAACAGGTCATAATTTTTGTGACTGAATATGGTTTGTCATTGATTAATTTTACCCTGTCCTATATATTTTACGAATATAAACAGCTTCTGATGAAAAAGTATAGAACGAATAGTTCCTCTCAATTAAATCTGCAATAGTTGATGGTGAAGAACGTCAAGGCTCACTTTTCATCAAATCAAACATTTCACTCTGATAGCAGACTTGAATAATCAAGCAGAACCAGATAAATAGCAACAAAATAAATCGTGCTAAGCTTTTGTCAGGCAGTCGAGTCTGTCCAATTCCAAAAATAAGACCAACCACATTCCATACTGGAGTTCTAACCTTCTTGCCATACACAACATCTTTAATTTTCTCAGGCAAGTGATTAATACAGAATATCGACACAAATGTAGTTGAAAAAGTAATGAAGACAAAAATCCAAGTCCATAAATCAAAAGGAAGTAGAAACTTTTCATATGGTGTATAAAGCTCGCCTGGTGTAACAAGAACTGTATATTGAAGGTCCATAACAGATTTTGAAGCTCGAAGTTCAGGACTTAGTAGATTGATATCCAGAAACTCGAAATATACATTTGGCATTTTTATTTGATTATCAACAAGAAAAAAGTTGATTTTTTGTTTACTTGAATACAGCATGCGCTCGGTGCTTGATACTACTGGTTGGAAATCAGCTTTAAAATCATACTTATTCGATGCAATTTTGAAAATAGTTGGATAAAATGATTTTAATCTAGATTCAATCGAGTCTCTATTAGGTACTGGAACCATAAGAACCAACTCGCATCCATGAAAGTTTAAAAACTTTTCATAATTCATTAATTTTGAGTTCCATTTCATTGAATTTTTGTTGAAAACATTTAGTACTTTTAGTTGAGGGATATTGCACATATTAGGACTAAACCACTCAACTGACATTACAGTAATCTTGTCTGATTCAGTTATGAGAAAATGTGAATAAAGAAGGATTGATTTTGAGAAGATATTTAATTTCACATCACTATACGTACTTAAGAATGAGTTAAGATCAGAAAAGTTTAAATTTTGAATAATAATGAAGTACTTAATAGCATTGTTTTGATGCCGGACGATTCTAGTAGTTTTTAAAAATTCTGAATACGATATAAGTGAGTCAATAAATAAAAACCCAGATTTGAAGATAATTTTTGAAGTATTTCTCCGGTTAGATAGCTTAATCAGTTTATAGTTGAAGTGATGACCATTTCTGTAGATTAAATCATTCAAAAGTCCTGATGTGGTCCACAAAAGATCCACATAAACATTGAATTTTATATTTTCTTTTATAAAAATGTATCCACAATATCATTCAGAACGCGAGAATCGATAGAATAATCTTTGTTTTGAAAAAAGCACAAACATAATTTTGAATAAACCAGCACAGAAAAAGCTAATAAAATTATTAACTTTTCGTTCATCTTCACTATTCACTTCCAAAGTCAAGATCAAATTGAGTATAATTTATTGTAATTTATTTATATCCTTTAGTACGTATTATTGACAATGAATATTTTATTATTACAAACAATTGTTTTTATGTTATCGATAATATCTTCATTTTTCACGTTTTCTTCTGTTTAATGATAAATTTGACTAATAAAGATTAAGATTATGACTATGAATGTCAAACTATATTTTTATCCAAAAGCTTTTTGGCTTATTTAAGCTTCTTCAAACAACTCAATACTCAAAGCTTGACATTGCTTCTGTTAAATCAGTTGCGTGACTTTCGCTTTGTCGCTTTTCATTACTATCAATTATAGCTTCAAAATAAAGAATGGATTCTTCCATTTCATCAGATTGATGCACTTCTGCTAGAACTTTTACATTGTGTCCTTCTGGTTCGAGATTGTTGTCATCATTTTGATTCATATTTTGATGTTGCTGATCTTGACCATCTTGTCTCATTTTCTGTTTATTAGTCTCTCCATAATCAACTTCATCTGTCTGATCAATATTAATTTCATCGGATTGTTCATGATCACTTCGATATCTAGTTCCGAGATTCGTTATTGGTCTTTCTACGGGAATTGATGTTTTAGTGTTCTTAAAAAAACTCCAAAATAATTCAAAAACAAATCCAAGGATCGAAATGCAGCAACATCCAATCCAAATATAAAAACCAAATTCTAAGTCAGACATTGCTAAAACTCTTGGTTCATCATCATAAGAATCTTCATTGTTTGGTGAATTTGAATAGTAATTTTTTATAAGATTTTCCATTTGTCCCGAGTCAATCATGTTGTCAATTGTCTTTTTTAGCATTCGGAAGTGAAATGCATAATCATGAAATGCAAAAACTTGTTGTGATTTGAACTTGTTTCCATTTTCAATTCGTTTCCAATCTGGATTAGTTTTAGTAAATTGTTTCAAGGCTTGGAGATTGATTTCATCAATAACAAGAGCAAGTTTTGCTGAAGCATTTCGAGATTGCGTCATGAAAAGGTTAGCGAATTTAACAGGATTAATTCGGACAATGTTCTTACTGCAAATAAGGAAATATTGATTCAAATCTTTGGAAGTGTATTGCACAACCTTTAATAAATATACAATATTCTTACCTTCCGTGGTATAAACCACTTGCTAAAGCAGTTTCTGATGAAAATGTATATATTGCATAATTCATATCAATCAAATCTCTAATACTGACCGGTGACGGACGTCGAGGTTCACTTGTCATAAACTCAAACAGCTTACTCTGAAAGCAGACTTGAAAAATCAAGCAGAACCAGATGAAAAGAATGAAAATAAATCTTGCAAAGCTTTTATCAGGCAGTCGCGTCTGTCCAATCCCAAAAATAAGACCAACTACATTCCACACTGGAGTTCTGACCTTGTTGCCATACACAACATCTTTAATTTTCTCAGGCAAGTGATTAATACAGAATATCGACACAAATGTAATTGAAAAAGTAATGAAGACAAAAATCCAAGTCCAAAAATCAAATGGAAGTAGAAGTTTTTCGTAGGGTGTGAAGAGCTCGCCTGGTGGAACAAGAACTGTGTATTGTAAGTCCATAACAGAGTTTGATGTACGAATTCTTGAAGATTTTCGTTTGATATCAATAATTTCGAAATAAACATTTGGGGCTCTAATTGTATGACTGACCGGAATCAGATGAACATCTGTTTTGCTCTCATGCAGTATGTGCTCGGAATCGAAATCACCAAGTTGAAAAGTAGGTGTGAAATTGTAATTTTTGGATGCAATCGTGAAAATAGTTGAAGTAATTGATCCTAATTCAGATTTAATCGTATTCCTGTCACTGACTCGAACCAAAAGTGTCAATTCACATTCGTGAAAGTTCAAAAACTTTTCATAATTCTTCAATTTTGATAACCATTTCATTGACTCTTTGTTGAAAATGTTTATTGTTTTTAAGTGTGGTTTGCACATTTTCGGACCAAACCACTCGATTGACACTAGTTTAATTTCATCAGACTCAGATATGAAAAAGTATGAGTAAACCAGTAAAATATCGTAGTTTCTATCCAGTTGAATATCGCTGAATGAATAGAATCAGAGAATTTAAAGTTCGGAATAAATATGAAGTACTTAATAGCATTGTTTTCATGCCGAAAGATTCTAGTAGTTTTCAAAAATTCATAAAACGATTCAGATGAATCAAAAAACATAATGGCAGATTTAATTATATAAGCTCGAAAAGTGAAATGCCTAGGAAACTTGATCAACTTATAGTCAAAGTTATGACTATTTTTGATAAGAAAACTGTCCAAAAGTCCTGACGTAGTCCACGACACATCCACAAAGACATCGAATTTTATATTTTCTTTCTGCAAAAAAACATCCACGATGTCATTAAGAACGTGAGAATCGATGGAATAATCTTTGTTTTGAAAAAAGCACAAATCTAATTCTAAATTAATAAGCACAGCAAAATGGATTAAAATTTTTAAGTTTGAGTTCATCTGTACTGTTCACTTTCAATGTCAAATCCAATTTAAGTAGAATTCAAATTAATACAAACATCTTCTTTGAAATATATTTTTTTCTGATCAGTAGTAACTTAGAGTAATTAAGATTTATATCATGACTATGACAAACACATTTCAAGGTTCGTTAAATGTCAAAATAAATTGATCAAATCTAACACGATCTAAGTACAAATTTCAACAACAATGAACCTCTTATATTAATTATTACTTTGAAGTGAAATGTTTTCAGAATAAATGCATGACTTTTCATCACAATCATTTTCTAAAGATTCTTGCATGCTAGAGACGCTCAATAACTCTAAGTCCATACAATTCGAGATAACTTTCTGTAAATCATGTGGATGGTCAGAAGCTAGTTGTTCCTCTTCTTGAGATTTAGTAAAAACTAAAGTTTTTGAATTATTTTCTGACGATGCAGTTGCAGGACGACATTTATTCATGTCAAGCTTTGCTTCAAAGTTCTCCAGTGATTCTTGCACTTCATCGTTTTTGTAAACTTCTGCGTGAACTTCTAAGTTGTTGTTGATAGTTTCGTTTGCTGCCTGTTCATAAGTTTCAATTTCTTCCTCAATGACTTCAAGATATTCAATATCGTGGATAAGATTTTCTGGGCTTTCATTAGGATTTTCTTGAATTTTCACTTCTAGTTGTTCTGAATCTTTAATTTCTTCTTGTCCATTTTCTTCGACTATTTCTTCAGTGCAATATCTGGTCCCAGCATTAGAAACAGGTCTAGCTTGCGGAAATGCCATTTTCTCAGCTATTTTGTAAAGCATATGCATAATCTCCATTATATATCCAAAAAGAGAAGCAATACAGCACCAGACATAAATGTGAAATCCAAAGCTAAGATCAGTCATTGACAAAACTTTCAGAAGAAGTTTGGATTCTTTTGATTTTCGTTTCCTTTGCAAATAGTTGTTGCTAATTTTATTCATGATTCCTGGATCAATAAGCTGATTAATTGTCTTCGTAAGCATTGGATAATAAAATGGATTGTCGCGAAATGCTATTACTAAGTTTTTTGTAGTCTTAATATCGATTTCATTCCAATTTAGATCCGTTGGTGCTAAAAGTTTCAACTTTTCAAAGTAGATGTCAGCAGCTATAAGAGAAATTTTAGCTGATGTATTTTGTGCTTGCGTTAAGAACATTTTTATGAATTTATCTGCTTCAATACGATGTTCAGTAAATCTAATGGAGATATAAATTTTTTTTAAATTATCATTTAATATGTTGCTGATTTACACTTACCTATCTTCATTTCTTGGCTTTAATAGCTTTCCATTTTCATCATACAACTGTACTGTAAACATTGAATAGTTCTTTTGAATCAAGTCTTTAAGATTCATCGGTGACTGCCGTCTGGGCTCACTAGTCATGAATTCATACAACTTACTCTGGAAGCAAATTTGAATAATCAAACAAAACCAGACGAAAAGTAGCAAAATAAATCGTGCTAAACTTTTGTCAGGAAGTCGCGTTCGTCCAATCCCAAATATAATACCAACGACATTCCAAACTGGATTTGTGACCTTTTTGCCATAGACTACATTCTTAAGTTTATTAGGACTGCGGTTAATAATAGACATTGACATAAATGCAGTTAAAAATGTTATAAAAATCAGAATCCACGTTAAATAGTTGAATGGAAGTAACAACTTATTGTACGGTTCATAGAATTCAGGCGTTGAAACCATCAACAATTTCTGTTCCGAAAAAGAATTTGTTTTTCCACAGCGAAATGAAATTTCAGGAAGTCCTTTAGTCTCAAAATAGATTGATGGAATCTTTATCGTACTGTTCCGTGAAAACATTCGAATATGATTTGGATCAGAGAACAATAAATCGTCACTTCTTGACACTCCCATTTGGTATCCTATTCGAAAATTATATTTTTTTGATGCTATTTTAAAAGGTATGATCGTTTCTTTTGCAAACTGATGTTCCATACCGCTTTGGATCCAATCATATTCAGAAATATGGTTTTTTTTTTCGACATCAATTGGCAACATAAGAATCAACTCACATCCATAATAGTTCATAAATTTATCGTAATTCTTTAGTTCGAAATTCCATTTCATTCTCTTTTTGTTAAAGACATTGAGAGTTGAAGTTGTAATATAGTTGCACCTATTAAAGGCATACCATTCAAAAGTCACCAAATGGATTTTATCCGACTCATTCAGAATGAAGTACGAATAATGAATAATATTATCAGTATAAAGACGCAGGTGTTTGTGATTTTTCCAAATTTCAAATGACAATAGCTCTGATGAATTTAAATTGGGAATAAATACGAAGCTCTTAATTGCATGATCTTGATTGAACATCATATTAAAAGTTTCTGTAAGTTGAAAGAATTCATCAATTGAGTTTACGAAAATTAGACCTGAATTAAACATCCAGTTCACTGATTTTGGTTCCATATTATAAGTAACTATTCGGCACGAGAATTTACAGTCATTTTTAGCTAAGAAACCATTAAGAATATCCGAGTTATTCCGCAAACTGTGCACAAATACATCAAATTTTAAATTTTGCTTAATAATAAATTCATTGACTGTCTCATAAAGGACATGAGCTATGACAGAAGAATCGTCAACATTTTGATCACACAAATTTGAATTGATAGTCACACTATAAAATACCAGAACTGCTGCAAATTTAAGTCTTAATATCATATTGACTGTTCTATTTAAGAGTTGAACCTTGTTTGATGGTTTAAATGGATATTTCTTACAATCAAATATGTTGATACTTTAAGATCATTATCGAAATTTTGTAATATTAGTTTATTTCATCGATGATAATTTTAACAAGTTCTTTACAATTTTTAAGAATTATTAATTTTCTAATTAATTAATCACAATTCTTGTCAAAATATTCTAGATTCTCTCTCTTTCTACCCTCAAAATTAACAAAAATGCTTGAAAAAATTGACCTTAGATTGAATCTCTAGATTAACTTTAATTAAATCTTCAATTCAAGTGGAAAAATTCATGTTTGTAGGCTTGCAAAGAATCATTGACACGATAGCATCAGGAAATCGATTAACACTCATCGTCCTACAAAAGTGAAATTCCAAAAGAAAATTTGCACGAATCAGCAATATTTTCCGTTCCATTTGATGTCTAATAGCAGTTCCATGACTGCGAACTCGCACAATGAAAATGATTTTCTTCTTCAAATTCCGAAATTCCTTTACTTTTTGTTCAATACTGTTGTCATCATCCTTCATACTCCATGCTTATCCATTCATACATAAAAAATTATATTTCATCTCGAATGCCAGCCCATAGAAACGAAAAGTGTTCCTTTTATCATTTCCAACAATTTTTCTTATTTAAAGAGATCTTTATGTCATGTTATCATGCACACATTTCATCAGCAAATATTGCATGTTTAACAATGTAAAAAAAAAATATTATATCCAAAAATGAAATTAAAGAAACAGAACCGACCTATTCCCTATCCCTTAATATCTTTTTCATGCGTAAAATTTCTGATATTTCTTATGCAAATACAACAAAACATTTGGTCACATACGATTGCGTAAAAATCTTTTTCTGGACATTTTCATGTGATAAAAAACATATGTCTCCTTTTTTTTCTGTTGTTATAAGCCCTTAGCTTTTGTCTGACTTTTTCCATATTTTTATTTTATTTTATTTTTATAAATATAAATTTTGTTCTTCGCACTACATAAAATACAGATATTGAGGAAGAGAAAATTTTATTTCTGGGGATAGCTGATTGGGTTAGGAAGAATGTGTCAATGTTCTAATTTTGACATAGGTCAACATTGAATGGATTTTACTTTTGGCATCAAGTTTTATCTGGTCCGTATGCTGTATGGCTTATGCAATTGAATTATTTTCTGTTTAGATCTATAAAAATTCAAAACTGCTGTAATATCGAACTCAATGCTGATGATGAGATTATTCCGACCTCAACTAGATTATTATCTGGATTTTTGCTATTTTCAGCTACAATCTGGATCAGACTTGTTTACGTTTATTTGATTGATACTGCTTAGAATCTGTCGTTAATGTGATGCAAATCCTTGTCATATCCACAACACTCTATGTATTAATTTGATGGATCGGTCAGTGGTGAGAATCGTACCCAGGCTCTCATAAAAGAAAGGAACGGATATCGGGTCTGTCTATCTACTTGGACCACAGAGGCCTAACCTCCTCACTGGCAGATTTGTCTACAAATGGCTCGATATCGCAGATTCCACTCTACTCATTGTCTAACCCTAGATTGCCATATAATGATGTTTATAATAAGTTGCAAAATCAGCACTTAACTAGGTTTCGAACCGATGATGTCCGACTTTCTGGTAAAGTTCCTCGGATAGCCTTAGAAACCAGTCTCAAAAAGTGTATTACTTTCAGATACCAAAGAACTAGATGACTTAGTCTTTATATCCATCCAAAGCTCACCGACAAAATTATTAAATTAATAAAAACTAAGACTAGACCACTATATCCTTAAAAATTATCAAAATAAGCTGTTTATTTGCCTCAAAAATTAGATCTTTGCACAGCATGTCTTCAAAAATGTGTTTAAACCATTTAGGTCCTAAATAAACATTCAAATTTTTCACACATTGACCCAGCTATATACCAAATAAATGCGTCTTGCTATCACGACCCATAAGACACTTCACACATTATTTTTCCTTCGATTATATGTTTGCGTTGAGATTACGAAAAAGTGTGTACGGGAATTGAAGAAATATTATCTTAAAAAAATAATATTTGAGAAATTGAAATTGGAAAAAAGGGAAAGCAAAAATAAGCGATAAGGAAGTAAACACTCCTTTACAAATACTATTTCGTTCCGGTAAATATACAATTCGAGAAGAAAAAAATGTTAAAAATAAATAAATAAAAATAAAATTTCATTTTTCGAAAAATAAATAAATAAATATGGAACATGAGAGTCCTTGAGTAAATCTATGCAATTGAAAAGCATATAGAAATATCTCTGTTAATGCAAGAAAATCCATAGATACATCCATTACTCGTGCCATCATTATCATCATCGTCTTCCTATTGAGGGTAGTTGAAGATTCTTAAATGGTATTACAGCATTTTAAAGCATTCCAAATGTTTAAATTCACACAAGGACACTCACTAAGACTTAATATACAATTCATCATGTGGAAGGATTATGATGTGACAGGAACATGAATTCTAATTTCTCATATTGAAAACAATTCATTATAAAATTAAATATTCAATAGTCATGTTGCTGGGGGAATTGAGGGAGCTTAAGTTATTGAGCGGAAGGGATGATTGGGATTTTTTTTGGAATCTTAGTATAAGATGGGTATGAAGAGACATGGCAGATGCTTAATGAAATGATGTCTTTAGCAGCTGACCTTAGCTTTACAACAGTGAGCAATTAAACCATGATTGAGTCAAACTAAGCAAAATTGAGCAAATCTAAGCAAAAATTGATCATGTTTGAGCAAAAATTGATCATGTTTGAGAAAACTGAGTAAATTTTATCAAAACTGAGCAAATTTTATCAAAATTAAACAAAATTGAATCAAAATTTTACAATAATCGTACAAAATTAAATAAATTTGATTAAAACTGAGCAAATTTAAGTTCACTTGAGCAGTACTGAGCAATTTTGAACTGTAAATTCCATGAATTAAATTAAAACTACTGAAATTTGAGCATTTTCAAGTCAAATCTCAAGAATTTCCGCAAAACATTTTTCACAAGATGTCGCATGAGTCACAAACAATCAGTTCCAAAAAATTCACATTAAAAATAATTTTTGCAATTAAAAATCGATCATAAACACCAAAAGACATCACAATCTTAATCACCATCAGCACACATATTCGCAATTAAAAATTATTTTATGGCTTATCAGTCTCCAGACTGATTGATCTAGCAGAAAGCATCATCAAGGAGGCGGCAAAAAGGCTTGCTAGGTCTAATGAATATTAATACAATAAAAATCAATTTTGAATCTTGATTTGATGCCAATTTTTTCGTTGTAAAACTTTATACCTCGTTAGTATTCATGCACAAGCCCTCATTCTTCGTTGGAAATATCTATACACAATGCAGATGATCCACTTATGGCAAATTACGACATGAAAATAATTAATGGATTTGTGTACTCAATTATCACATTTTCACATTTGCATATCACATATTCCATATCATAAATTGGGTCTGGGGGTCTTGTAGCATTAATGAATATGTGTATGACTGAAAATAAATTAAAAGCATTATAAATGACACGAGAGTAGGACACATATCTATTAAGCCGCAAAACACATTTTTGGATTAAATAATTAATTTTTATGAACAAATAAATTTCATGAGATTATTAAGTGCTGTGATTTTTTTTCTTTTAAAAAATGAGCGGTGCTTAAATTTATGGTCTTGCAGCACACATCAGAATGTTCTAACGAGAGAGAACTGGAACAATATAAAATCGTAAGGTTCTCAAATTCTCATTTTCTCAATTTTTTTTCCAACGACTTGACAACATTTCCACATGCTATTGCTTCTTGCTCTTTATATATTTTGTATATCTTTATAGTCGCACATAAATTTTATGAGTGCGCTAAATTACAGAAGAATGATGTGGTAAATGAATTGAAAATTCAATCAATCAAAAAACAAATGATGATCGTAGCTTGGTGAAATTTTATCTATTTAATGATTCATTGATTATGAAATTGCTTGATAAGACATTCGTAAATGTCTTAATTTGAGACAGGCATGCTTGATAGGTATTCAATTTTTATATGAATAGATATTTGCTTGAAGTGGAATTGAAATTGGAAATGGAATGTGTGCGTGAAAATTACTTGGAATTGACTGTAGAATGAGGCATGATATGATTGTCTAATGGCGTGACAATGTCGTGTTAAAAGTTAGTGGATTGTCACTAATTTTACTGAGGATTTTTTAATTTATTTTTTGGAAACTCATGTCGATATCGTTTAACGGCTTGTAAAAATTCAAAATTTAACGGTTTTCAAAAATTCAAACTATAATTTCAGTTTGATTATTTTAAATTTAAACAGCTTTTTTACAGACATCAAAAATGCCATTAAATCTTTTTATTGCAATTTTGTAACTTTATCCTTGAATTCATCATAAATTCTTCTATAAAAACCTAAAGCCACCACCAAATTACGCATATCAGCCATTCAACTACATCATTACTTTCCAATCCCATAAAAACCCCAACAGCTAACAGACTTAACACGACACTTATGGTTCATTATTATTATTTTTACATTTTTTTGCTCATATATGGATTATGTTTATCCGCTGTCTCGACACAGTCAGCTACTCGTACCTCGTAGCGTCTAAATTAATATAAAACCATGAGATTGCGAGGTGAGTTAATTGTAATTAAATTTTATGACGGAAACATGAGACACCAGAAAGCCACAAATAATTTTTTCCTACTCTCTCTGGCTTGCCTTAACTGGATCCAGTTTATGCCTTTTTCAGCTTTCCGTATATATGTTGTGATGGTGAGGAGAAAGACACAACAAGTTAATTAAATATTCATGAAATATTGCGTTATCGTTAGCTGTAACATGAACCTCGTTATCTCTTCAAGCATTCATGTTTGCGGGCCATTCGAATGGATGAACGAATATTTTGTGCCTTGACTGTTTCTTTAA